TCATTTTCCTAGGAAACAAAGGTCTGGCAATGCTGAAACCACTACCCAAAGGAGGAAAACTCAAGACTGTCACCACTAGCATGATGTTTTTGCTTTTTCAGAGGTGAGTAGAGGGGTTGGGGATGGAAACTGGGCAGGAGTACATGATGGTAAAGAAGCAACTATTAAACTGAACATAATGTATGGCAGGAATTTTTAATGACCTAAAATACCCAAGCTTCTGGGACATTCATCAGAATTTCTTTCTTATGAATTGTCTGGTGCATTTGCAAATTGTGAGTCTGATAGTTATATGCCCAGGAAGTACTGAGTAGGAGAGGACGTAATCAACTCATTCTTAAGTGTAATGAAAAGACTATCTGGGCTTTAAATTTTGTCGCCTGAGTTGAAATTTGCCATTGACTATTTGGGTAATTTGATGCAAATGGCATCCTCTATACTTGTTTTGTACACCTTCAAAATGAGGTAATAATGGCACTTACTTTATACATTTATTATGGGGACTAAATGCTTTTAATATAAGTTTAAAATGCTGTTTCGTGTAATGTAATTGCTCAGTGAGTTTTGGCCTTTTTAGTGAAAAGGGTTTGGAATTTTTAATCCACTCTCTGGATTTCAAGTTCTCAACATGTCAATAAATATCCTGGGGTCTTGGTTTTGTTATCTCCAAAACATCGCAGTCTCTGTTGTAGGTTTGTTGCAAGGATGAGAGATGGCACAGGTAGACTTTCTAGACATGGAAATTGCTAATACTTCAAATGCTTTCCTGGCTAAATATTTTCCTGTGGAAATGCATGATGCTCTATTAAAATTTATACTGTAACTCTGAAACATACAGTATTCCTTTTTTTTAAATTTATTTTTTATTTATTTATGCATATAAGAGCTGGTATGTAGGCCAGAGGTGTTGGGGGGGTGGCGGGTGAGAGGATTCACCAGAGACAGAGTGGGGAGCAGAACAGGCAGATCTACCGAAAAACACTGCTGAGGGGGGGGCAGTAGGCGAGACTGGAGAGGTCTGCTGTGCCATGTGGGTTAGCTCCCTGGATGGGAATTGTACTCGTGCTTCATTGGCTGGTGATAGCTTGATAGTGCTAATACTGTAACACCTGCACCACCAGGGAGGGCCCTGAAACATACAGTATTCTTTTAATGGGCATGAAATATGGTGGTGCAGGGAAAGAGTGTATAAAACAAGAACCACTTCCCATGAATAGTGTAATTTGGAAAGAAGCAGAGACATCGCGACTCTCACCCCTCATCTTTCAGCAGCCACAGACCTTTACGTGAGGCCACTGCCTCATTATCCTGATGACTCATAGAGCCAGAGTACTTCCCTTCTCTTCTGCTGTCCTTTCAAATTAAATTCATTGTTCTACAAGATGTCTGTGGTTCCCAGAAATGACGCAAGTGGTATATGCTCTGTTCAAGCCTGGCTATTTGATCTCAAAATGTTCTCCCAAGTGATCTGGGCCTTGCCACTTGCTACTACAGCTACTGACAATTCCAGTAACCCTTATTTTTCTTTCTTAAGAGAAACTCGGAGATTATGGCTAAACTGACTCCTTTTCAAAAGAAGGTCTGTAAAGCCTACTTTAGGAATAGACTTACCAAAATACAAGAAAGAAATAAGTTCCTTTTGACATCATATACTCAAATGAATAGTATTTGATCATTCACAGGATGGAAAGCAGGCATCTAATAGTGGTTTAAAAGCTAAATGAGAGGCCCACATTAACATGTTGTTAACTAGTTGTTTATATTAGTCCTTCAGTCTCTTGTCCTTGAAGCTGGCTTGAAATGCTTTTAAATCTAGTCCAAGTGGGAGGCATAGTTTCTTGAATATCCCCTGTAACATGAAATAATTTAAAGACAGCAAACATAATGTATCTGCACAAAGGAGCTCACTCCTGTCAGAGAGTGGTTGGTCAGTAAGGAAATCAGCTTGGAAAAAACATGCCCAAATGGTGAGTCAGCAGCTGCCATTCCAGCTACATTTTATTTTTAAAAGGATGGCATTTGTCAGGGAGTTCTTCACCAAACGAAAAGGTTTCCTTTGTTATTCTCCTTTCCATTGTTAACATTTTCATATCTATGTATATATATATATATATATATATATATATGGATGTTTTCATCTGATTGTTTTGTGACAATCCAATAAAGTAGCTAAAGCAGGTGTTATTTTCCCTGTTTCATAGATGAGCACATTGATGGTCAGAGAAGTCAATCAACTTGCTCAAAAGCACAGTCAGGTCTCACATCTTAGTTTTCTGATATGCTGATGTGAGCTCCAGGGCATCTGGCACTGATAAGGAAAACTGGATGCCCTTGTTGCCATGCTGAGAGGTCCTGGAGGTGAATGCGGAGTCATGGTGTTATTAGGAGAGTCTATAAAAGAAAGAATCAGGGCCATATGGGGGAGGAGTAGTAATTCGGGAATGCAAAGCATACAGACCTTACTGTACAGAGCTTACATTTCACAAGTAATGAGGAGTGCAGGCAGATGTGTTACTGCAGAGAAACATCACTGATTAGACTATCTGCAGTGACTTTCTCTGAAACAGACTTGTTATTGCATGAAGCCCAGGTTGCCAAAGGAGTGCAACTTTTAGGTGATGTTGTTTCGTACAAGATAGACAAGATGATGATATAATCTGTTTTATTATGTTTGTTATACATCTGTCTTATCAATTATATAATAGTATTATATATTAATTTCCCTACAACATGTTATTTATATAGCTATAATATACCATAACATAATTTAGTGACTGCTGGTCAATTCACAATTGACCGACAGGTTCTTCCCTTGTTGGGTTCTCTCCTTGGAGATTCTTACCTCAAGAATTCTTGCCTTCAAACCATTTCATTGTTTTCTCCTCTCCTTAATGGACCCTGTGTAATAGAAAACTATGAACTAGGAATCAGAGACTTTGCAAGCATTATTGCTTTTAACTGTCACAACAATCCTAAAAGAGATGATTATTAAAAAGTCAGAGGACTAAAAAGAGTACTATGTGGTTGTAACTAAAGTCTCCAATGGAGTCAGGCACTCAAAAATTCTTAAGAATTTTTCTCAGTAGGGTACTTGAATTGTGAGCAACTTCACAGATTTAAAGGCTGACAAAACACTTGTTTTACCTGGATGGTTTTAAATTACTTCAGTCAGCAAAGAGACAGATAGACTCTGCAGCTTCCACATAGCTCATCACTTGAATACAAACTGGAGCTTAATATTCCTATCACTTTCCTTTCATCAGATATGTTGACTATGCTGATTTCTTTTCATTGGATTCATAAAAAAATAATTGGGTATTCACACAGAGGGCAAAAGACCTTCCATATTTACATTTGATTGTTAATATATTTTAATTGAGATATGTGTGGCATGAACTGTGTGTTAGGGACATGTCAATGTATAAGACAAGCAAGGTGCCTCTCATGGTTCTCATACAGTGTGGAGAACACGGACAAATTAGTAGGCAGTTTACAGTAGAATAGCAATTATAGGTTGCTATGAGAAAACATGGAAAGTTGAACTGTCTCAGTCTGAGGATAGAAAGGGACAGTGGTTCAGTGCAGACTTCTTGGAGGAAAATGACTCAAGCAGCATTAGTAAACCAGAGCTATCAATCCTCAATTTCTGGGGATGAGGTACTGAAATCTTTGTTTTAATGCATCTCTAGGTGCTTCAGATACATGCTAAAGCTTGGGAACCGATGATCATACTTAAGCAGCACATTAGAATCACTTTTACATTGGGCAGATGCTGTGGTCCCACCCTCAGAGATGCTAATTCAGTTAGTTTGGGATAGATCCTGGAAACTGGCATTTTAAAAGCCCTGGGTGATTATAATGAGATCTTAAAGTGTAGTCAGGGTTGACACCACTTCTTCAAGCTGACAACTGAAGCATAAGTTAGCCAGACAGTGGAGTTTGGGGAGAGGCCGGTCTCCATGTGATGTAAGAGATAATCTGAGGCAGTGGATATGGGGACCTGATTAGTCTGGAGAGTACACACAACAAAACTCCATGCTTAAAATAAGGTTCTTAGCTGTAAATGTACATGCTTATTGCAGCACTTCTTAACTTTAATGTGCATAGAAGTTATCCGAGAATCTTGTAGAAACACTGATCTTTATTCAGTAGGGAGGGTCTACTGTCTTAGCTTTCCCTGAGGACACATGTCAAGAGTGGATGGGTTTGCAGAAAGATGTATCTGTTAATTAGTCCCATGGCCAAAATAAGGGCAACCAGTTGGCGTGAACTGCAGCTGTCCATTGCTGGGTGGGTATGTTTTGAGGGTAAGGAGGAAAGAAGTAACCTAGCACACCTTCCAGCCTGCTCTTACGATTATTTTCCATCAAGGTCATACTGCTTTTAGCTTAGCAGTATCAACCCCCCCACTCGGCCCCAATCTAGATGCATGCATCTCCTGGCAAGGCCAGCAAAACCAGCTCATTAAGTGACCGCTCTAGCACTATGTAACGTGCCAGCCAGTCTGGGAGGCGTTGGCCAAGGAGGGGAGTCTCCAGGGGGCCTCTTTCAGCATTTTCCCTCTTCCCATCTCCCCTGACAGAGCTGCGGGTGCCTGCCGCAGAGCAGAGCATCGTTCTGCTGCAGCCCCTTGCACTTGGCTCGCACTTCTGGGCGCTGTCCATGGTTGCAGCATCTTTCAGCGCGCCACGTCAGGAGGCCAGAGTGGGGCCCTGCGATTGGCTGAGGAGCCCCTTGCCACCCCCAACACCCCCGCCCCTGCATTGGGCTACCAGCCCTGGCCCCGCAGGGCAGGCGCGTGCCAGCAAGCTTGGTGGGCGCGTCCTGGGGCTCCGGGAACGGCACACCCACTTTCCTTATTAGGGCAGAGTAGAGCTCTGGGAGCTGCGCAGGGCGTGGGGGTCCGGTAGGGAGTCCTGGGACGCAACAGAGGAGGGCAGAGGCACAGCCGCCTCCGAGCGGCAGGAGGGAGCAGCGAGCCCTTGCAACGGGGCCGGCTACTTTCCCCAGACCCTGCTCCTCTCCCTGGGCGCAGATTTTTATCTGCGCTCTTCTGGGTGCCTCTAGTCCAAACCTCTCCAAACGACATGGAAGAATTTTTGCAACGTGCCAAATCTAAGCTGGTAAGTTAAGGGAGCAAGGCTGTGTGCGTGTGTGTGAGTGTGCCGGGTTCGAGCTGATGGAGAAAAAAGGACACTGCAGCAGAGGAGGTAGAGACAAGTTTGCTACTTAGTTGCCAGGGTGTGCGGTGGACCCCTGGAAAGGATATCTGGAACTCTGGTGGTTACTGCAGACAAGTCTGTCTCCAGAATCCTTCCCACAGCCAGACAGAGTGCAGACCTCGGGGGTGGTCATGGTCAGGCAGAAGTTGGGTCTTATGTGTCTAGCTTTGCTCTTTCTATCCTGCTGTTGGAAAGAGGCCGTTTTAGTCAAATCTGCAATTTGGTTTCGATGCCTAAAGGCTAAATGGGTGTGGTGCTCCTTGAGAAAGAGTCCAGCCTTCTGCAGACGCAGTAAGCATTAAATGTAAAAGGAAAAAAGAATCATTTAGAACCGTATTTATCTGGTGACAGTAGCAAAACAAGTGAGGAGGCCAGGGTACCGACTATAAAGGAGGTGTGGGAATGTATGGCTTACCAGGTATGCCTCAAATAGAGCTTGCTTCAGCTTAGGAGTCGGGGATATTGTAGTGTGAATCCCATGTTTCTGATTTCCACTCAGATCTGTAACTTGGGGCAGGCATAAAGGGGAAACCCCAACTGTTGCTGTCCATGTGGGGTTTACTAGACCATTGTTCTGGGAGAGGACCAGTTTGGTGGCTGGGTATGTTTTTACTGTACTGCTGTTCAAACAGTGAAGTGTAATTTCAGTATATATGTAGACAGTTGTTACACATTCTGAAACAACAGATTCTAGCAGTTTCCTAATTCCAAACTGCTTTTGGCTCTCCAGCATAGTGTAATAAACATAATGGACATGTTTCTGTTTCAACACTAAAAAAAAAAAAAAAAAAAAAAAGCTCTGTCCATTTGTCCATTTAGAAGCAATATCTTTAATGAACAGTGAAAGTACCTTTTATGGGCCTGGCATAGGAGGAAATGCATAATTTATGAAGCCTTTAACCTTTAAACCTTCACTGAAGCCAAAATATAAAGCCGGCATTAAGGTGACGTCTTAATCACAAGGCAGGATATTTGCAGGGTTATTGTTGTAACTCATTTACCCTGGAACAACAGAAGGCATGCAGACGGAAGTGTGAGTCTTACCATGATTTAACTGTAAGTATCTTTTAAAAGACTAGTGAAGTTGATTAATGATAAGACAAGTACTTTATTTCCTACCCTAAGTTTCCCCGATTGTTGGATGGTGTGGAGCTTTCAGAATCCAGAAACTTTGTGATCATTTTTGAGTTTATTGCTGATTCCCTTATAGTTTTACTTGAGCACACAAAGGAAACTACTGATTGCAGAAACTCACTTGTATTTCTGATACTATAAGTATGCTCTCTGTTCTTTACTTAACAAGAGTGAAAAATGGTCAAAAAGGAAAATTCATCTTGGCAACTTTTATTTTGTGGATGAAAAAGAATGATAGATGATAAATGAAGTTTTAGGTGTACCTGTGTTCCACTTCTGTAATATTTATTTTTAACAGTAAACAGATTGTGGGGTCTGATGTGAACAAGAGGTTTGTCTCATTGCTGAAGAGCAATTGCTGGAATGGGAAAATTCCCTTTTTCAAAGTAATCAGTCTAAAGTAATGTGCAAGTTTATTTACCGAGTCCCTTCATTAGCCGAGCAATTGCTTCTACATCATTAAAAGAGAAAGACAGGAAAAAGAAGTGGTTGTTTGAAATACTGTTCCTAGTTTCCTGCTTTAGCCAGAAGAATAATTACTGCTAATTTAACTTTTCTTGGAATAGGTTTCTCGTTAGAGATCAAAATTATCCTGTTATAGTCAGCCATAGCAAAGGTATCTTGGTCACTTTTAGTGTCACATTTTCCCTGAAAAAGTACATTTTCTAGGTGAATAAAATTTTTATTTAATATACAACATTTAACTATAGTAGTAGCCTTTTGCTTTGAAGGGTAGGTAAATTTTGTTTAAGTGAAAAAACTGTCAGTAATTATGGCATTCAATTGTGAGTAGTTTGCTCATAATAAAATCACAAGATTTTTAAAATGTAGACTAGTCCTTTGGAAAATACTTAAAGGAGAAAAAATAAGGTTCTTAAGTCTTTGTAGACCAGAATTAGATAGACTTTGGGTATTATGTTTAAGCTGCTTTTCCTCAGTCATAATATATATTTATCTATATGATGGCTAAAAAAAAAAAAAAAAACCTAATAGACAGGTTTTCCCCTACCTACTTGACGTCTTGCTTTGATATTCTGTAGGCATAACATATGCCTTTTAATGGTTTGAAATAGTCAATGTACCTTCTAAAGTTTTAACATAACCTTATCATCCTTGGAGCTAGCTAATTCAATAGACAAAATTAGAAGGAGTGATGACTTTGCTTGATGCCCTCCACCTTCAGCTGTTATTTATTTATATTATATTTTTATATTACTTATATTTATTTATTTTTATATTACTAAATGGAATGATGATGGCTATTAGCCAAAGATAAAATCCTCAGTAGTCAAAACTTTGGAGAAATTGATTCTGTACCTTGTATTTCTAATTAGGAGCATTTATTTTCATCTGTCATTATAAGGAGAGAAGACGTTCTCCCATTCTAGGCCAGGCCCTTGGGTTGGGCAGAAATCTTTGAAGGGAAAGAAGTGTTTTGAATTTTAATCAGGTAGTTTGGAGCTTCTATTTGTTGAAACTGAGAATTTATTCAGTTATGTTTTTCATCACATTCTGGTCTTACTGTTCTTTAAACTGAAACAAATTCACTAACAAAACTCCAACCCCCTTTTTCCTAAATCTCTCCTTCCCACATGTAACTTAAAAAAAGTGCTGTTTATCAGAAATGGCAAAACTAAACCCCAAGTATGACCTCTAAGTGATCACCCCTCCTGAAACTCAAATGTTTCTTCCAGATTAGGACAGCCTTGGGGCCTGATGCTTCTTTGTAAATAAATAAATAAATATAAATAACCTTAGCTGAAGGTGGAGGGCATCAAGCCAAATCATCACTCCTTCCAAGCATAGTCAGCTTCACAGCCCAGCACTCAACCGCTGCGCCACCGGGGAGGCCCTCAGTCCTTATGTTTTTATTTCCTTTTTAAAAAGATTATTCCGTAATTTTTATTAAGGTAATCATGGTTTATAACACTGTATATATTTTGGGGGTATAGGGTCACACTTGTTTAGACATACATTAAAACACCATACTGCGAAGCTGCCCGCAGCCTCTGCAGCACCGGTTCGATCCCTGGCTGCTCCCTGGCCACTGGAGGAGGGTCCCGCATGGTGCGCAGACCTCTCCTGCCGCCCGCTGCTCCACTCAGCAGTGTACTTCGGTCCTTCTGCCTGCTCTGCTCCCTGCTCTGGCTCTGGTGGATTCTCTCACCCTCCCCCGCTTCTGACTGTACCCAAAACACTGTACCCAAAACACCATACCGACCACCTGAGCACCCATAATCCTTTACCACGTTCTGCTGCCACCCTTAAATTTAAGCCATCCTTTCCAATTTTAGTTACACTGTTTCTATGGTGGTGTCTTAGTCATTCTTACCTGTACCTTTCCCATGTTGAGAAAAGTTAACAGAGGTAAGCAATGAAAACCCCAGCCCTAGGCTGTGATTTGGAAAATGTTCTCCAATTTTGGAGTAGTTCGCTCAGTAGAGTGTTCAGGCCAGGATATTGTCAGCATGCGTTAAATGGCTCAAGTTTCCATGAACTTTTGGGGATAAATGAAGTAAATGAGGAATGAGAGTCCTGAGGCTTTGGTTGGCAAGCAGCCAGGGTCCCCACACTGTGTAGACTGGCTGCTGAGTCCCTCCAGTGCCCTGCCCCTACCAGCTGAGGCAATTCAAGCAGCTGCTAAGGGGTGGGGGATCCCTGCAGCCCACATGCCTTAAGATATGTGGTCATTAAGTAGTCTAGGGTGTGTGGAAGGAGAGTGTCAGCTGCCACTGGAAGGATACAGGGCACAACCATGCCCCAGGAATGCTGTTTTCAAAAAGAGGGTGGAGATAGGGTCACCGCTCCAGTCTGGGGAATGCATCTGCCACTTGGTAGTGACAGCTGCTGACAAAGGGCTCGTTTCTGTGGTGGTCAATCCATGGACTTCTATGGAAGAACAATTCCGAGTGACCTAAACCTCAATTTATACTCTGTGGTATGTGGCATAGGGACAAGAAACACCTTCAAAAATCTAAATGAACAACAACATTGGAGTTGATAAAGGATATGGGTTTGAAAAAAAAAAAAAAGAGAGAGAAACCCTACAGCCTTCTACAGAGTAATCATCTTGAGAGGAAACTGGAGGAATCTATATTCTTCCTGATTTCTTTTATAGGAAATCTAAGGTGCTGTTTATCAATAAAACGCATCTTTAGAGTGAAAGCGCCATACTTTTTAAAAGCTGCTGCGGTAGGGGCTAATGATGATGGAGACATTGGAGAAGAGGTTTCATTTGGGGAGCTGAGCTCATTCTGATCACAGACCACAGGATCAGTTCCTTCCCCATTTAAGTAAAGGCAGATGCAATCAAGACAGTGCCTCTTGCCAGAACATTCCTGAGCAGGAAACTCTAGAACCCAAAGCACATCTGTGAATGTGGTGCCCACCCCTTAGGGACTGATGAGAAATGAGGCCTGAATTGCTTTATTCCCAGAGTCAGCTCCATTTTTCACTGCTCAAGCGTTCAGACCAAGAGCCTCAGATTGTCCCAGCCCTAGGGCCCATGGAGATGACCTAGACCTTTTCAGCATTGTTCTGCTTCAAAGGTAGCAGTTACAGCAATTACTGTCATTCAGACAATACCATGGGTGTTGGAAGGCTGTGCTCATGTTAGCCAGGATACCCTTTAATCAAGTGATTTGAGAATATTTTATGTTAACTAGGTTGAAAAGGTGGTAGCTTTGATATAGCCTATTTGCTTCTATGTAGTGTTTACTTGGGCAGATAATTACATTGACTTGGGGGTTGGTATACAGCCTGGGAAG